CTTCTCCAAATACCTAACTTAATACGTGTAATACGTGTATCACATAATACTTATACTTATTACTAAATCTTCCAATATGGAATTTGAATCGACAACTTCATCTCTGTGCTAATGTGGTATGGCAACTCGAACTGATGTACATACGTACGAAGTTCTACGTTGTAACTGACTGACTGACTGACAGTATGATAACATGACATACTAGGATAATATTAAAGCGTGATGAATCCTTTTATATTAATACTTTATGTCCGGCTTTTTATCACGAGAATTATCCACCAATTGGAATACGACGTTTTCAATCTTAACATCATGCCAAGTCAATGACGTTCGACCAGTATGAGCAATGCAGTGAAATAGTATACAATATATATATATATATATATATATATATATATATATATATATATTTGTACAAGATTTAGCCAAAAGTGGCTGTGAATATGGGAGAGTGTAATTAATAGACTGGGTATAACTCAAGAATGGTAAACCATATAATAATAGTCTATGGGTCAAAATAAAGCTTATAATAAGAGGAACATGAATATGCATAGTTCAGCTACTTAATAATTATACAATAAGAATGTATGTATAGTATTAGCTCAGAAATAAATTCCAACAGTTACCATTCATTATTCTCACCGGTATACAACAGATAGTTCTTTGTGAAATTTGTAACAATTAGTTATTAATATGATTCGTGCTCACAAATGATTGTTATAAGGACAGGCAAACCTAGTTGTTTCATATTTAACACCTTATTAAGAAAAATGCTAAATATAGAATTATTATACATATATACATGAAAACTGATTCATACAGGATTACACCATGAGTAAAAGAGATGCACAATCAAATGAATCTACAATCAATGAAACTTGAATACAGTACTACTAAGAAAAACTTAAAAGTCAACTATAATTAGATGACCTTGGAATTGAACAATTGTAAAATAATCGTATGAGGTAAGAGAAAAAACTATCGTTGAGTTGTAAGAACTATGAAAGTAAGCTCTGCTCTGTGATATACTAATTAAGTAGGTGACTCAATTCAACCTCTCAATGTTCTTTAGCCGATGTGTTCAGACAAATTATAACTATTAGCTAGTGCTTGAACGATGCATACACTAATTGACGGAGTTAAATGGAAAACAAATACTGAACTCTACAGTAAAAATTTCATTGTTTATTGGATAAAACATTCTCATTTAAAGAAAGCTTAATTTCACATATATCACTTTAAGGCAACTAGAAAATTTAATCTTACCTTATTAACTAAACAATAAATTCCAAATGGACATAATTTGGACAGTGAGTAACACATAAAATACTGAATTTAGTATAGAAAACTATAGACCCATGTTCCTACGGTCTTAAGCAACATAATGAGTAGAAGAGGAACTGGAAACAACTTTGATTCCTTTAAAATATACGCCTGATTTCTACTATTACTAACAACAAAGGGGTTGATTGAAATAATCTGAATCTAATAAAGGTATTAGATAGACAAGAGTTTAAGTAACATGTAAAGGCCGATATAAAAGTTATTATCTGAGGAATCTGCCAATGTCATTATTGCTGTTCAACTTTTTTTTACAGATATGAATATCTACCTTCCACTTTCCGAAGATACTTGATCTGACGATAACACTAGGTTTTTTAGACTAATAATGCTTGCCGATAATAAACGCATTAGGTTCGAGTCTCAGCGTGAGCATCGACACTGTGGCCACATGTAGGATAAAACGCGCGTCTTGAATTACCTTGATAGCCATGATGCAAATGTATTAAAACTTGTAACTAAATGAACTATCAAGCTAATCCGCCAAAAAAGCATATATGTCAGTAGAGACTGAGCAAATGTAGTGCTAATATCGACAACCGGAAAACTCCAGCCAATTAGTGTAGAGATCCACTACAACCTAGTTAAAAAAAAAACGAAATTCGCTTCTCCAAATACCTAACTTAATACGTGTATCAATAAGAATTGTAACAATATAGTAATATGTTCATGAAACTATTTATGTCATGTTTGTAGTAAAATAAAAACTATTTTTGGCTAGTCATGAGCAATGCAATGAAACAGTATACTATATATATATATATATAATCATCGTTTTTCAAGTTTTCATAGAGTAAACCATCTATTTTCATCAGTTCATTGTAGACTAGGCGTACACTTGATGCAATAATTATCTTATTCGAAAAATCTGGAGATTCAGGGTTTAGGAAATCTGTCACATCTATACGATAAACAGGAATGCTACCCTCTATAGAACGTCGTAGAAACCGATTTCTAATTCAAGAAACCTGACGACGTGCATACTGTCGAGTGGCTGTTTTAACATTCCCTACTGCTTGCTTCAGAAGAGTATTCGCCTCCACAGTATATATATATATATATATATATATATATATAATGATTACTGCTGCCGTTGTGATTCAAAATGATTCATTAAAGATGACAGTAAATATGTTAGTTACTGACATTTGGCAATAAAGACTATGGTAATCTCTACCGGTTTGTTTCTGTATAAAGCATCTACGTGTATGCAAGAATATTAGTCAGAAGTTTGAGCTTCATGTTCCTACGGTCTTAAGCAACATAATGAGTAGAAGAGGAACTGGAAACAACTTTGATTCCTTTAAAATATACGCCTGATTTCTACTATTACTAACAACAAAGGGGTTGATTGAAATAATCTGAATCTAATAAAGGTATTAGATAGACAAGAGTTTAAGTAACATGTAAAGGCCGATATAAAAGTTATTATCTGAGGAATCTGCCAATGTCATTATTGCTGTTCAACTTTTTTTTACAGATATGAATATCTACCTTCCACTTTCCGAAGATACTTGATCTGACGATAACACTAGGTTTTTTAGACTAATAATGCTTGCCGATAATAAACGCATTAGGTTCGAGTCTCAGCGTGAGCATCGACACTGTGGCCACATGTAGGATAAAACGCGCGTCTTGAATTACCTTGATAGCCATGATGCAAATGTATTAAAACTTGTAACTAAATGAACTATCAAGCTAATCCGCCAAAAAAGCATATATGTCAGTAGAGACTGAGCAAATGTAGTGCTAATATCGACAACCGGAAAACTCCAGCCAATTAGTGTAGAGATCCACTACAACCTAGTTTAAAAAAAAAAAAAATTTGGCCAGTTTGATGGCTACTTTGTTAAAAAAAAAGCGGTTCGTGAAACCGGATGTACTGATATTCACAGAGCTCTAGCATCATAGAGCACCTGCAAGTAGCCTGCTGAGTCTCACACTATGTTTATACTATACAGTACTCTGGTTTGTTCTGTTTTAGATAGAATGTAACACATGTTATAGGTGTTAGCATTAGCTTGTCGTGGAATCGAAAAATATATAAAAATGCATTTAAATGCTAACAGGACGGGTAGTCCCGGATGGGCAAGGCAACATCACAAGATTATGAGGTTTATGTCTTGTCCATAAGTTCAATGATATAGCTGATAAGAGGAGCGTTAGGAAGCATGTAATAATCATTGAACCATATCAAAGGCCGTGATCGACACAAAGTTTTGGATAAAGCGGATACATTAGAAGTCATGAGTGGAAAGCGACTATGCAAGAAAATAATATTTTTTATTCTCTTCAAATTTTTCCATTGGTGATATAATGTGTAGCTATTGAATTGACACTTTTACTCCAGGTGCTAAGTTATTGCGAGTCCATCCACATGATGTCTACAAAAATGGTTACAGTTCATCAGATAATTTTATACACAGGCTTTTTCTCTAGTAGGTATAGCGGCAGTATTTTAATATATAAACTATTTTAGTCGATACAAACCAAAAATCAATTGATTTGTCACGTTAATGTTTAAGTTTTATTTAAATTCAACATCACTTATTAGGTAGAGGGTACTGAGTACTGAAACAAGAATACTAAGCATTTTTGGTTAGGTAGAAGTTTACATAAAAGTTAATTGTGAACATTAGATTTATACTCATATATACACTTTTAAAGGTATGTAACTAAAACTAACAATATACATGTAAACAAAACAGATGAACAATTCTAAAAATCATATTTGTAAACAAGCAAGAGAGAACACACCAGAAGATGTGCTTTATTGTAAAACACCGATTAAACAAAATTAGTATACAGTAAGTCAACCACAAAAAAAGAACGCTGAACGAAATTTCGATCATAACTTGCCGTAATTAGGGAGGAAAAAACTGACATTTTAAATTATATTCAGTTAAACCGTATAGGGAACATAAGAAAAAGCCAAAATGCAACAAACTACTCATATTGGTTTTTGTGAAAAATGTTTAGCCTATGAAGCTATTGCTGGTCACCGGATACCATGTGACTCCATCTCGTAACGTTGCTCCACTGCCTTGCGAGTCAGACCCTTAAGTCGGAGGCTCCGGGTGTGACCCCCTCAGAAAACCACGTGCTTCGGTTTGGGCACCCGGGCAGTATCACAGCCCACACAAAAATCAAGTGACTTGTGTGGCGCATACGCATCCAGTGCCCCTTTGTACCAATAGTAATGTGTTCAAACAAATAAAAAAGAATTATAACTGTTACTTAACGAATATTTATCAATTTGTTCATAGGATATTTTGTTTGACGTACCACTTTTGAATTGATAAATGATAGTATGATGTGTGCTACTGATGTTAACAGATATAAGTAGTATGCTTCACCAATCTAAAGCGAAATGCTTGGAGGCAGATGGTTAAGAAGATCAAAGAAAAGATAGTGATTGATGTGGAAACAGAGAAACAATCAAGTCTGAGACAATTGATTGAAATTTTGCAAATGAAGTATTTACTGTATGGATCTCGGATTTTAACAAGAGATCCTGTAGTTTTGTATTCCAATACATTCGGTTGTCACTTATGTTCTCGTTCACTACGGTACTCTCTTATTTAACTATATCTCCGCTTGTATTGATTGATAACAGAAATGTAGAATATTTGGTGGAAAATTGACGAAAATGTTGAACTGAAAAGTAAAAGATCTATTTTGTTTATAATCAAATTTATCTGTATAAAAAAATGCAAATAATACAATTAAAAAAACAAAAAAAACGGATAAATATTAATTCAATGAAATGACGAACATAAATACCAACGGAAAAATATATCAAAAAAGAGGAAAATATAAATACAAGAAATACAAATACATAATAATGAATAAACGGACGAACACCCATTTGCAGGTAACTAAATAACGAAAGAAAAAAGAGAATGAATTAACGACAAAACGTAAAAGATTATAACTTTGTTATTTCATACAAGTTTTAAACCAGTGGATGTTTTTGGCAAATATGAAGCACGTAGATGAGACCAAATATGATAGCGTTTTTTTATAGATATGCATATTTCTGAAGATTCAGGCATAAAGCGCCTGTATAGTTCATGTGAGTTTGATTTATTATTTCTTTTATTAAGATTTGCATCATTAATATCAACAGACGGAAGACTATTTGCTTCTGAATGAAGTCGTTTGTGTAGAGAATCAGTTGCTGCGAAGAAACTTGGCCATAAACCTAAAAAGATAGATAAAAGAAATGCTGGATAATGAACTAATTGGAAAATAATTAACAAAAATATCGACGGTAGTTTCACAAACTAGACAACCATAATGAGAGTGAGCGTATTCATCCTGATATCACAAAAAACATCATTTCGTAAATGGTAGTGATTCGAAGATAATTATCAGTCTCTGTGGTTTGAGTGTACCTAACGTAAAAACGTTATGGGAGATTTCATTAAACATGTGATTTTCATTTAGAATTAATACAATAATGTTTCGTTTTGTATGATAATTCATGGTATAGACGATGTAAAAAGCTTGGATAATTTTTAGTTTGACTTATATTTAATTGCGATGAAAAACATTAGAATAGCTGGAAATTACAACAGGACAGAAGAATCGTGCCTTGTGCCAAAAATATTTTCCAATGATTTCACTATGAACTAAAATCTTTTAAATTTATTAAAAAATAAGTTTTCTCGATTCTACTAACAGTATATTCCCGTCGGTCACATGACCTGTTAATCACACTCGTATTTGTTGATTAGGGAATGTAAAAGGTGCACATGGTATACAATAAGTGACGATTAAAGTTACTGAAATATGTTCTAACAGCATTATGAATAAAAAGCCTTGAAAAATTGTAAATAATGGATGTAGGAGGAGAATTTTTTACATCACAGTGAAGATTTGTCGTCCTCTTTATCTCTATGTTGTTGTATTCAAATTTTGATGTTCATGGTTGGAAGTCAAAGATTCATGATTTGATATGCATTTGTTTATCTATACATAATTGATGGTTCAGGTGAGATTCTGGAACGGGAAAAAAGCCTAAGGAAAGCTTCAATACACAGTCGCTAAGTAATAGTCTACTGTCCAGAAACTCAAATTAGCGTGAGTGAGAACTGTCGATTATGAGTCTTAACAATACCTATGTCTTTATATCTTTTTAGGGTAAAAATATCATTGACACATCAAATGTAGTTGATTTAAGTACGCGGTATTTAATACGTGCGATAATATTATGTACTTTGATATGTAAAATGCTTCGAGAAAGAACTCGTTTCGGTCATTGTTACCGAAACAACATGTTAACAAATACTGAATAAACCTCAGTAAAACCCATCATTGTGATACAGAGTAAAATATTTTACTTTTCAGTAAAATGTTATAGAGATTGTTGAACTTCATCGAAATCATGAACTAGTCAATTTTAGAACACCATTAAAAGCCCGAAAGGACTGGAAGGCAGTTTCGTCTCAGTATAGGTCTCCTCGGCAGTACCCAACGACGACCCCACACGAGAAAATAGAGCTCAGGATCTTCGGTCTCACGCGCGAACGTCTAACCCTTAAACCAATGAGTCACCATTCAATAGTGTTATCGTTTAACCTTAATCAGTTCACAACAGGAAGTTTACAGAGTTCTGGTGAGAAGTCGTGACCAGTGGAGTCCAATCCATGTAGGGTGTAGAACAGTTGTCCACCAAAGACAATGAAATGAAAGATGGTCACCTAATGCCGTGGATTGATTGAGAGTAGACATTAACACCCTCGTATGCCAACTCATAGGTTTAAGGGGTAAGTGTTCGCGCATGAGACGTAAGACACCAAACACATTAGGGATGGTCAGACTCCCAAGATCAGTGAAGTTGTCGACGCGTTCGACTACTTTGCTCCCTATTCCTTGGTTCAGGTGTTGACACAGGCCAGTCCTGAAGCAACAACTTGCATTTAGAGGGAGAGAAACGCATTCCAAACATCCTGACATTGTTGCTGAGTGCTACCAAAGAAATCTGCATTTTATCAGCGTCTTCACCATACAGGACTATGTCATCTGCGTATTCTACGTCGATATGTCAGCCTCCTGGTAGGAAATCAATTCCTGAAAATTCTGTCAACAAGAACGTTTTTTCCAGTAGTAGGTCTATAATGCAGTTGGACAAAAATGGAGGACCTAACTTTTATTCCTTCGTGTGGAGTCGTGGTTAGGTACTGCTGAGCAGACCCATACTGGGACGAAACTGCCTTTCAGTCCTTTTGGGCTTTTGATAGTGGTCTAACATTGATTGATTTACGATTTCAATAGAAAATATTTTAAATTTTCTGATTCTTCATATAGTTTTCGAAAGCCGGAGGCGAAAACCGTTTCATTTGAATGGCATTAGAATTAAAATGAGATATATGTTTATTGTTAAATTTCTACTCATCAATATTAAGGCAAATACGTAATATGCTACACATAAATCAATCACTGTTTAAATTTAGTAAGGGAACTAGTTGAATACATTTTTTTTAAAACAGTATATTAACAGAAAAATCGAGTGATTAAGACTGTCTTTTACGTGAATGCGATTTAAAGTGTCTAAACCACAAAATTTAGAATAAAATCCTAACTTGTGATTAAATAAGTGAAGCACAAATGACAGAAACAACAAGCGAGAAATACACATAAAGACAAATACCGATACAACCTACAGTGAGCTATCTCGCTTCTCCAAATACCTAACTTAATACGTGTAATACGTGTATCACATAATACTTATACTTATTACTAAATCTTCCAATATGGAATTTGAATCGACAACTTCATCTCTGTGCTAATGTGGTATGGCAACTCGAACTGATGTACATACGTACGAAGTTCTACGTTGTAACTGACTGACTGACTGACAGTATGATAACATGACATACTAGGATAATATTAAAGCGTGATGAATCCTTTTATATTAATACTTTATGTCCGGCTTTTTATCACGAGAATTATCCACCAATTGGAATACGACGTTTTCAATCTTAACATCATGCCAAGTCAATGACGTTCGACCAGTATGAGCAATGCAGTGAAATAGTATACAATATATATATATATATATATATATATATATATATATATATATATATATATATATATATTTGTACAAGATTTAGCCAAAAGTGGCTGTGAATATGGGAGAGTGTAATTAATAGACTGGGTATAACTCAAGAATGGTAAACCATATAATAATAGTCTATGGGTCAAAATAAAGCTTATAATAAGAGGAACATGAATATGCATAGTTCAGCTACTTAATAATTATACAATAAGAATGTATGTATAGTATTAGCTCAGAAATAAATTCCAACAGTTACCATTCATTATTCTCACCGGTATACAACAGATAGTTCTTTGTGAAATTTGTAACAATTAGTTATTAATATGATTCGTGCTCACAAATGATTGTTATAAGGACAGGCAAACCTAGTTGTTTCATATTTAACACCTTATTAAGAAAAATGCTAAATATAGAATTATTATACATATATACATGAAAACTGATTCATACAGGATTACACCATGAGTAAAAGAGATGCACAATCAAATGAATCTACAATCAATGAAACTTGAATACAGTACTACTAAGAAAAACTTAAAAGTCAACTATAATTAGATGACCTTGGAATTGAACAATTGTAAAATAATCGTATGAGGTAAGAGAAAAAACTATCGTTGAGTTGTAAGAACTATGAAAGTAAGCTCTGCTCTGTGATATACTAATTAAGTAGGTGACTCAATTCAACCTCTCAATGTTCTTTAGCCGATGTGTTCAGACAAATTATAACTATTAGCTAGTGCTTGAACGATGCATACACTAATTGACGGAGTTAAATGGAAAACAAATACTGAACTCTACAGTAAAAATTTCATTGTTTATTGGATAAAACATTCTCATTTAAAGAAAGCTTAATTTCACATATATCACTTTAAGGCAACTAGAAAATTTAATCTTACCTTATTAACTAAACAATAAATTCCAAATGGACATAATTTGGACAGTGAGTAACACATAAAATACTGAATTTAGTATAGAAAACTATAGACCCATGTTCCTACGGTCTTAAGCAACATAATGAGTAGAAGAGGAACTGGAAACAACTTTGATTCCTTTAAAATATACGCCTGATTTCTACTATTACTAACAACAAAGGGGTTGATTGAAATAATCTGAATCTAATAAAGGTATTAGATAGACAAGAGTTTAAGTAACATGTAAAGGCCGATATAAAAGTTATTATCTGAGGAATCTGCCAATGTCATTATTGCTGTTCAACTTTTTTTTACAGATATGAATATCTACCTTCCACTTTCCGAAGATACTTGATCTGACGATAACACTAGGTTTTTTAGACTAATAATGCTTGCCGATAATAAACGCATTAGGTTCGAGTCTCAGCGTGAGCATCGACACTGTGGCCACATGTAGAATAAAACGCGCGTCTTGAATTACCTTGATAGCCATGATGCAAATGTATTAAAACTTGTAACTAAATGAACTATCAAGCTAATCCGCCAAAAAAGCATATATGTCAGTAGAGACTGAGCAAATGTAGTGCTAATATCGACAACCGGAAAACTCCAGCCAATTAGTGTAGAGATCCACTACAACCTAGTTAAAAAAAAAACGAAATTCGCTTCTCCAAATACCTAACTTAATACGTGTATCAATAAGAATTGTAACAATATAGTAATATGTTCATGAAACTATTTATGTCATGTTTGTAGTAAAATAAAAACTATTTTTGGCTAGTCATGAGCAATGCAATGAAACAGTATACTATATATATATATATATAATCATCGTTTTTCAAGTTTTCATAGAGTAAACCATCTATTTTCATCAGTTCATTGTAGACTAGGCGTACACTTGATGCAATAATTATCTTATTCGAAAAATCTGGAGATTCAGGGTTTAGGAAATCTGTCACATCTATACGATAAACAGGAATGCTACCCTCTATAGAACGTCGTAGAAACCGATTTCTAATTCAAGAAACCTGACGACGTGCATACTGTCGAGTGGCTGTTTTAACATTCCCTACTGCTTGCTTCAGAAGAGTATTCGCCTCCACAGTATATATATATATATATATATATATATATATATAATGATTACTGCTGCCGTTGTGATTCAAAATGATTCATTAAAGATGACAGTAAATATGTTAGTTACTGACATTTGGCAATAAAGACTATGGTAATCTCTACCGGTTTGTTTCTGTATAAAGCATCTACGTGTATGCAAGAATATTAGTCAGAAGTTTGAGCTTCATAGAAATTACTATCGGAATACATTAATAAAATATATGTCGAAAAATAGTTGATGATAAATTTACCTGCACCGACACCAGCAACAATTGCTGCACCTAAACAACTGCATTCTTCAAGACCTCTGCGTTCCACTGGGATTCCGATTGTATTAGACATACGCTGTAGCAACCAATTTGAACGTGCCACATTTCCATTAACATAAAGAATTGAAGGAGAAATACCTGGAGGGAAGGACGGAAATATTAAACACGAGAATATAGTATTTATCAAGTTTGCATATTAATAATTTATCCACAAACAGACAGATTACAATGTCTATTTTGTGTGACTTGACGATCGTAGTTAAAAAATTTTTTTTGACTCAAACCACACTATTACAATGATATGATAGATCAAAATTTTTAAGCATTCGAATAAAATACATACTTTCAACAGACATCAACTATCAAAGTCGGATAATCAATCAACTACAAAACATTTACACCTTAATAACAGATAGCTTGGAAGAAATTATGGATCTATAGGGTTTCAAGATAATAAATGAATAGAATGTTTACTACTAAAAATTTCGAATCTGTATGTGATGAGCAAACATAAGAGAAACTATAAAAATAAATATATTTAATAAGGATAAGGTAGGAAAATAACTTAGCGAAATAGGAGTAATATGAAAAGTTTAATGAATTATTCACAAATTGTTCCACTCAAGCGTATAACTCTGAAATCACGATCAGCCTAAACTGATCTTATGAGATTAGTTAGTATACAAATAAAAACTCAAGTTGCAATGTATCGTCTGAACGAAGTGTGGTACGTAACCTAGCGGTTAAAAAAAAACACAGGTTCCCTAGAAAACATAGATAGGTGGGGTAGCGTAGAGAAGTAGACGGTATTGAATACAACTAAGGAATAAGTGAGGAAAAATCTGAGAAAAAAACATGTTTAAAGCAATTAGTCTATTTCATAAATTGCGATAGAGCAATGAGAAGAGGGAGCTGATTTGAAAAAAATGTGATCTCTTTGTAGTACACAGTTCGAACAATCTGGTCACACATATACTTGTCAGGGCGTTTTATATGAAGATTAACAAAGGTCAGTTAAATGAAAGTTCAAGTAATCGAGGTAATAAAGGGGAGAAAAATTTTCTTATATCTTATAGAAGCAACAAGAAATTGTCGTATTACCCTAGGCCATAAAATGACATAAGGATTACCAAGGTAAATTCAGGGTTACGACAAATTGTTTTTGTTTAAACTTACGAATAGTCAAGGCTTCAATAAACCCGAGAATTCATCTTTGACAATTTTTAGACAACGTCCTAAAAGCTGTATTGATGTCAATTCTGTGCCCCGTTTCAATTATGTGTTTTGCTATCAATGATTATGGTTTTTTACTTCCCAAGCTGATCGGACCATTTAACATTGCCGTTAGGCAACGGATACAAATTAGACGCCATACATTTGAAACAGCTAATAAACAGACTAGGTTCGATTTGTGAGGGTTATAGCTATCAAGCTTAAAACTGCTGTTTGTACTGAAAAGAGTCAGTGACTAACTTTCAACTACCTTGGTAACTGAAATGAACAAATGTAAATAATTGATTAATTCACGATCTACCATTCGATGAGTTCAACTTACGGATGTTTTTATCATATTTTTGTGATTTTCTATCACATTATTTTTTAAAAATCATATTTTCCAGTATCCTAGCAATATCGACCCAATTAGTTTGCAAAAACTCCCATAAATACCAACTTTGACGTTTTTACTAACAACTTGGTCTTTACTGATGGATTGTTCATTTATTGGAACAAAATTCCATATGTATATATATAGCTTGAACTAACCAAACCTATTAATTTGTTTTTGTAACTAAAGAGAAAACGAATGAATTTATTTTAGTTTGAAAAATTGTCATTCATGTGCTTATTTAAATTTATGAAGGGATAAAACTGTATGAAAACAAAAAATGTTGGTTTAAGATAGATCATTTAAAATATGACTTGTTTTGTACATTGAAATCATTATTAATTAGAAAAATGTTCACTTACGTGTTTGTTTACGATAATTTTCCAGCATCAATTTTGTACAAAATGCAATCGACTCAATAAAAACACGTGCAACAAGTAGTTTGTCAGCAGACTTTGAATAATCCAATCCGATTACTAATCCATCTGGTCCATAAAATGACTTTCTGTTTAATTTTTCATCTACTAAAGTGTTTTGATGATTTCTAAGCGTATTCCTTAGTAATGGGATATAGAAGATATTTTCACGAGTAGCTTTTTCATCCAAACCTATAAAAAATATTTTGGCAGGAGAAAGACAGCTATTTATGAATCAGAATATTTACAAGTGATATATATCAGTTAGTTATTCACGACTAAACCAATACTACATTTTGGTTGTACGTGGAAATCGTATTCATCAATCTAAGAATTATTACGAGGATGAAAATGAGTTTAGTAGACTATAAAAGAAACAGAATTTGTTACATAAGAGAATCGGAAACTTGTATGACTCTTTATTATTTGTATTTCATTTTATTTAAACACATAACTATTGGTACAAGGAAGCACCAGATACATAGACGGAAAAAGGACCGATCGGGACTCTACGTTGCTTATACTGGTGTATAAGTCATTAGTTGGGTCGTATAAGTCAGCGTATCTAAATTAGCAATCGTGTTTCGCGATAATCATATAAGCTAAGGTTAGTAATATTATTATTTGAACACAAATATTGGCAGAAGGGGGTACCAGATACATATGTGCCACACAGATCACTTGATTTGTGTATGAGCTGTGATACTGCCCAGATGCTTAAACCGAAGCAGGTGATTTTCTTAGGGGGCCACAACCGGAGCCTTTGACCTAAAGGTCTGATCCACAAAACAGTGGAGTATCGTGAGGAGATGCAGTCCCATGGTATCCGATGACCAACAATAGGTTCATATGCCATTCGTTTCCTCAGGATACTGGAGCCCATGTGCACGATTGGTTTGTAATAGGGGTTTTCCAACTCCCGTAGGTCGATCCTCCGTGTCCCCCAACCCAGTTAAAGCGGCGGACATTCGCTTTTCGTCCTCTCAATTTCGTGAACAGTAATGCCACGAGAAGGTAGTGAGTAGGACTTCGCTGGCAGGGGCCGTATACACGTTGCCATGTGAGAGTATTTCGAGAGGGAGAGCTGACTCTCTCCACTCTCGGCCGTACCCGGGTATTCGAGGGGACATAACACCGAACTTAAACTCGAGTGAAAAATTAAGTCTTGAATTAATTATGGACAGATTTCTGGCTCACTTAACATTATCAAGCCTTAGAAGATTCACTGATGACGAATGCAACAAAATTGCACAGCTTTTTTTAACTAGTACAACAGGCATCAGAGTAGAAAACCCTTGGTTAAGCCGTGTTATGACGTAAAGAGGCTTTAAAGGTAGTGATAAACCAGCTGAACATATTATTTTAAAAGACTTCGATACAGACGTCCATTCAAAGACACGAAACAAAATTGGTAGATAGTCGCTAAGACATGTAAATCTTACCAAGTTGATCACCACTATAAAGTATTTCTTCTAATTCAGAATATGTAGAGAAAATATCTGAAGAAAATAAAAGTTTAACCATTAATAATGACTAATAAGTATTTCTTTTTACTGATACAGACTGAAGTAAAAGTCAAACGACAATCACAATAACAGCATAAAAGTATTTTATTAAAACTACTCTTAAGTGATGATGTTCGCAGAGTTAAGACATCTTAGTATTTATCGCATTTGCAAAGCAGAATAGAACTAGGTCAATTTATAATATTCAAACGCATATTCTTCTGAGTAACAAGCATAAAAATACAAAGGTTCAATAGTGCACAGGAGCTTGTGAGTTTCTTATAATAACCACGTATATTCAAAGCTACTATTCAGACAATGAACAGATAATTTCTCTGAATCAAAAGTATTTCGTAACAGAACTAATGAAACCTGTTAAAATTAATTGATTTTTCGTGATAGATTATCGTTTATTCTTAAAATTGTAGAAATATTGACACACGCGAATTCATTATTTATGCTTAATATCTTTTTAATCTTTCTGATGATCATAAATAGTTCTATAGGAAATTCATTACTGTCTACAAAATCTTTATAAACATATTCGCTGAAGAATTATACAGATATATAGGAGAAACATCATTGTTACTGTATCGATGTGAAGAAGTCGCGTGGAAATCGTTATAACTTTTACCATCCTTATTACACTAGCTTGCTCATCATTTGGTGAATTACCAATAAAATGATTTAAGAGTTTATCATAGATAAATCAAAATGAAACAAAAAAATGGTTCACACATTATGTAAAATCTATGTACAAGATATGATCAATTGATGCGTTTAACATTGTCATTTTAAATATATGATAACAAAAAGAATTCTTCATAACAATTGTACACGTTCTGGCCACTATATAAAAGTATTTTCACCAAGAGTTTTGTAACGGAAGATTACGATTGGCTTATCCCTCTCTATACTATACTCCTAACTAAAAACGAGTGAATTTTGGAAGCAACCAAAATAACGGTGAATATAATAGTGCAAAATTAAAGCAGAGTAATGGATTGTAGCAACTGATACACAAAATTCATGACCAAAGCCCACCTACATTATGATGAATATGACCATCAGAATTTGATATAATTACGAAGCTAGCTGCAATCTGACAGAATATGTGCGCATACGTCACAGAATCGCTCACCCTAATTCTTACGACTGAATTATGTGTCCGTTGCCTGAGATGGATAGTTGTTTCACACCCGACACGGATCGGACTCCACTGGTCACAGATTCTCATTAGAGCTCCAAGAGTCACATTTTGAAGCTAGTGATGATTAACAGCCAAACTCATATTATCCTGTTAAATTAACCTTAAATAATTAGTAACAGGGTAGTTAGACACTGAACAACATAGTTTAAGATTCTGTTGATAATAATGGAGTGAGAAAACAGGACAATGAGATTGCGACTTTTAATGTCAGTTGCCGCGTACTGTACAAATTCTTTACAAATCGACTACGGGTGACTTTTTAGGGAGAGGGGAATTTTCCAGTATCTCCTTAATCGAAACAGTATTGCTAACCTGGTAACTAGTGCTTATAAATAATTGTAAGGTGGAATTCAATTTTGTGAACGACTGAATACCAACAACAAACCACTACTTTTATGGTTGGGGACACCAAATCAGATAGATAATGAAGATCGTTCAGCAAAACAAAATTCTTTACGGAAGATATCAACTCCGCATGGTTCTCCCTTCTAAGATTACTGTCAATCCCGAAGCCGGGTAAAAGAGTTGAGTGAAGGCTTAGCAAGCCCACCTCGTAATAAAGAACCCTACAAAAAAACGAGAACCCGGAAAAACCAGTTTCACTATGTAGACTCTACTCTGGGAGTTGAGTGAGAAACTACGGCAACAATCAATATCAGTAAATGGAATGTCCGAACAATATGGGGGATCGTGGTGGTCCTCCAGACAACAGCAGAAATGAAGAGATGCAATCTGATTCAACTAGAAATACGCGAAACACATTGGAAACAATCAGGACAGGGAAGAATAACTTCGGGAGAAATGTTATAGTATTCTAGTCATAAAGAAATCAGTGCTCCCACACACAAGGAGTTGCCCTGACCTTGTCCAAGGAAACACAAAAAGCCTTTATAGGATGGGAAATGTATAGGTCCCAGATTATCGAGGCACACGACAAGCGCAAATATGTGGAAGACATGACAACTACGGCAAAATAAGCTACGAGAGAAGGAAAAATGAGAGAATTATATGATGCAAGTTAAGAGGGAAAGATAGTAGACCAAAACGGCTAGTTAGGAACAAAGAAAAAAACCAATCAGTGTGGCGTAAGAACAACTGGATAAAGTACTTTGAAGAGCTCTTGAACAGAACACCCCCACTGAACCCATCGGACATCATCGAAGAAGCATACATAGACCTTCATATGAATAATACCCCACCAAAAATAGAAATTGGCAAGGCTATGTAACTAATCATGTCTTTTGATCTTCATCTATGGTTTTTACAGTTTTTTTTCATCAACTATCAGACATCAGCACAACCTACTTTTGACACTCGAAATCGCCGAACACTTTATTACGCAACAGCACTCTATTTTTCAATGAACTTCTGTATGTCAAATAATTATGAGATTGTAAAGCTTCGACAAATGATGTGGTTGAAAAGAGAAGTTTATTGCTTGATGATATTTTATTTTATTATAGACAGGTGAGAGGCAATTTCGTCTTGACAAATGAATTCATAACGATGAAGGTATTAGTTAAAGTTGATTAAGTTTTTTTTAAGAAAACGGGTTATATTAGAAAAAACACGCCAACAGTAACTACAAATATGAGAAAGAATTAACTGTTCACATGATTCCAACACAGATAGATAAAAGATGAACGTTGAAATAAAGTGTATCACATGAACAGACATTTTTAAAGCTACATATACATGAGTCAAAAAGAAATATATTCTTAAAGAGAATTTACCACAAGCTAGCAACGGTTGAAAAACAGTCAGTTATAATCAACGCTGACAACTTTGAAATAATCGAAATTCCTATACCACATCAGCAGAGCGAAATGAAATTAACAAGAATATCAAAAAAAGTATAAATAATAATAGTATCAACCGAAGTGGTAAATATAAATCACTGAGGCATGCTATTCGAAAAGGAGGGATGAATTTGTGGACAAACGGTACAAAAAAATATTCAAGTTCAAGACTTGGGGGAAGATGACGAGCGCATCGTCGGTACTGTGAACAGATTCGACTCATTTCACCCAACATCAACCAGCCATTGTAATTACTGCTATTGAGTAAAACAGTGAAGACTACAGAACACTGAGGTTAACTGTCTTGTTTCAAGAATTTTCAGGTATTATATTGTGTATGTTGACCGCGTGAAAGCCCATTGTTATAAAAACCAATAGTCATGAAACCTTAGTTAATGATTTTTCGCCATAAATAAATATATGTACTGAAAAATGATTAGAAAAATTACTCACTTTCTGACTTCAACCAATCAATAAGTGTACCAGCATGCGGATAGAAACCTTCAACTAAATAAGTAAGATTATCCAGATGAACAGATCTAGATGTAGATAGTACTGATGATGGAGATTCTGAAGAACTGCTAGTAGAATCTATTTCAAAAGTCGGAACAGAGTCAAAATATGCCTGCCCCGATGCCCATCCAATAACAGGATAAAATCCTACAGAATAGATAAAATGTAACAGATAGGTACAGTATAACTCCACATTATTCGGCCAAAAACACAACTAGGCTTTAGCTGTCGGCTAAATGCAAAAATCTTGTAATCGACGATGAAGTTGTGCTACTGAAGTCATATAACCGGGTCAGCAAATAAACCGACCAACATGCTCACCTTAAATCAAAATTCTGTGGGAGCTTAGTTTATCAAGTTGAGTCCCACCACCGTAAAGAACTAGATATAGATAAACTAAAGAGTGATGCAGATAAGGCCTGATATACTTACTGAACAAATCCTAGAAGGCTGATGAAATTTAAACATGGCTTCATGAATGGGTTATCACTTAGAATACTTTGTACTCCATGATATCGATCATATATCCATTTATTTGATACAGATTAATGATGGAAGCAGTTTAGATAACTAATAGCCAAATTAAGTAAAAAGAACTCGTGTATACCTCATAAACTGTATCACAGAAGGACCCAAATGTCTGGTGGAACTACTAAATTACCCTTGTAACTGTTAGGTTCCTAACAATAGGGAGAGTAATTTTGATGATCAAAGCACTAGTCTTTGCACAGTTAAGCTGTAAATTTGGATACTCCTCCATCTGTTATGAGTAACGAGATAATTTCGAAAGCCATTACATCATGTGTATGATTTAATGTTGAATGTACGAGGCAGTACTGGTAAATAGAATTAACATACTATCATTCAGATGGCTGGAGCACGTCCCAATACACTACCTGTCTAGTAAGGTTGAATGCCAGGTAGAAAAATGAATTGTTTAGGATGAACTAAAGCACGACACCGATCATAAATTAATAATCTAGTTACGCTTGTAAATGTAAACCTTTGCTAATACCCAACTTGAGATAGTCACAATGTGTCTAAAATGTCAACAGTAGAGACCTGTTATATTCCAGAAACTAGTACTCTTTATTTAAATCCTATTATATCAACTAGTCTAGTACTAAAAACTATACAGAACAAGTTTATGAATAATAATGATAGTCTATCTTGCTGAGAACAACAAATTAGAAAAGCTTAACAAAATCATTTAAGACATACTATATTATGATTTGTTTGATTTGTTATCACACATTTGAAGTTATAATCCACTTACTTTACAACAGTGCATTTTTATATTTTTCAAAATCGTTAATAAAACTAAAGTGTATCTACACAACATATATATTGGCAATGATGGCACGATTACTCATGTAATAAGTCAATGCGCTTACGTACATTACAAACTACAAACGCTGTGACATACAGCATTAGGAATAAAAGCTGGAATAAACTATGAGAACAGGAAAAATTAAACCAAAAATTTGTTATATATAGTCAGTCATCTACTACGCAGGACTAGGCATATAGATGCATCGGCCCAAGTCTCCACACCTCATTAGCACAAGATGAACATCATATTCATAGGAGTAACTTCAATGGTAGTAATATATAGAAAAAAGATTTCATACAAGAATATGATATAGAAAGAAAGAGTTGTTTCGTATAAATAAAGGCATAAGACGGTTTAAGACAAGACAAAGAGTGCATACACCTACGCCATCGCGATCGATTCTGAGCCATGTCACTCAGAGTCTCCAACCACTCCTCACAATAGTTGTGCGGACCTCGACCAAGTAATCTGTATCTACCAACATGGCTCAGACTAGAAGTTAGTGACTTCAAGGACTTATGTTACGTTTCGGTTTTGCCGCCCCTGACTTTATTCCAACCATCTCCAACACTAGTCACGATTGCGCGCCCTAATGCGTGGCCCACCCATCTTAGTCGACATCGGTTTACAACCTCATCAACTGATTGATCATCATTCCCTAACACTCTGCGTCTAACCTCACTATTAATGACCCTGTAATCCCAACAGGTAGGAGCAATATCTGTGATCAAATATCAGTAACTTACGAGTATCATCCACTCTTAATAGCCACGTTTCGCAGCTGTAAACTCAATCAACCTATCAGATCAGCAAAGTGAGATGGTATCTGTTGAGTTCTAAGAGGTTAGTGCACAAACCAAACTCCATTAGTTTCCTCTAGCTAAGGTAACACAAAAACATATATGTCCTAGGTTGTTGATAGTTTATCTGCTTACACTATTAACAATAATGGTTAAGCATACACAGTATTAACGTGATATTATACGTACCATTCATTAGGGCTAGAGCTCTAGAACCAGAAATTAAATTTAAGAACATCCCGGTGCCTAATGTAAGTTTGGCTTGAAAAGGAGATAAACAATTTTCTGTTAAGGTGGCAGCTTGAGCATCACCAATGATACCAGTGATCGGAATAGACAAAGAAGGGTTTGATGAATACCCCAGTGGACCATTTTGAACAGTGCCATAATAATAACTGAAAAATAAAAATACGTGTAGTTATATGATAAAAAAAGGGAGTGATAATTAGTTTTAAAAAATGATAGTTAATTGTGAGTGAAATATCATTGACAGTTCCCAAATTACCTATAAAGTTCTTCCACTAAATCCGGTAAGCTATGTGAATGCTAGCGAATGAGAATGACACTTATTACAAACGTTTATTTGCCACCCAACCATTATTGATAGACGAAACAAATGAGCTAGATAAAAGAGTAGCTTAGTGTTATGATTTCTCCAATTACGACCCAGCTACTTCAATTTCTTAGTATTCTTGGACACCAATTCACTAGACAAATCCCCAAGTCAGAACACGGTTGAACCGGAACGAAACTATATTTCAAATAACAAGGATAGATGGAAGTAGGAATTGCAATAAGAAAAACGGTAGTATATTTATAGCTTTTACATGAGGATTCTAGTCTTCTACAGGTATCTGCTAGCGCTGATTAAACAAGAAATAGCTAATCAACGTGTAGCAACACGATTCTGCACGGAACGTGCTTTAATTCAATCTATATTCTGCTAAAAATTATAGACGACGAATTTTATACAACTGGATAGACAAGACAATTAAACAACGATTATGACCATACGAAACTATTTGAATAATTTTTTTAAAGCTGAAAATCTTCAAATAAAATTATCTTTCCAAGCCAGATCAAATTCAATTTTTCAGACATATTGTTAAATAAACGTAGTAGTGATTTGATAGTTAAAGCACTAGACCCATACCAATGGAGTAAATATGCTCCCGGATCTCGAAGAGATGAATGGTATATTAACCTATTTGGTCACTGCTTACTAAGGGACTGCATCTCCTGAAGCTGATATATTCTCGTGTAGATTAGACCTTCAGGTCAAAGCCTCAGGGAGTTGTCGTTTACAAAAACCGACTACTTTGGTCTGGTCTAGCCCATAGAAAAATATTCTGAATTATAAAGAAAATGTGGCAAAAACATGTTAATAACAATGAGTGGCATTCACTCCCGATGACGACAATTCAGTTAGTGAGAAAATCTTGAAACATCCAATTTAGTGGCTTGCAAAGAAAAATAAGCAAAATTATCCCTCCAAGTTTTAAAATTTCTAGCTCCCTTAAGTCTCTGTGAAATATGAATATATGCAACGAAATTAGTTCAGAGAACTGTTGGTGAATAAAGTTGATATGATATAAAGAAACTTGTGTTGGAGGATGATGATTCACGCGGAATTGCTTTAGCTTCATAAACAAAAATGGCGTAGTTTTTATTGCTATGCGACAGAAAACAAACCGGTGCATTGAATGTAAGTGGGGATGCCCAGTGCAGCTTAAATGATGGTGATAGAATATTCTTGATCGAAATAATTAATAAAAAAGTCGAAACTAAAAAATCAACCTACGTAAAAGTAAAGAAACTGGAAAAACAATTTTGACAGTAATCTTTTACAAACCAGCAGTATTCAGTTCAGAAAATATCATACTCTGACCAACCACTATTTTCAGGTTAGTGGACACATGAATCCCAAAATCTTACGAGGTTGTATGTGGAGCTTGGGGTAGAAAATGATTGAGGAAAGTGAGAATTTCAGTTGTTGGCTACTACGTAGATCAAGTCACATAAAGGTAGTATCGCACATACATGTGAAATTCTGATGAATCATTAGCTGACTACATCGGTGTCTTTTTTACTAAAAACTAACTAACAAGATTCCAACGAGTATTTTTCTAAAAATAATAGATGAATAGTTTACTCACCTGGAAGGATATACACCAGGAAGAATATTGGCAGGTATTCCTAAACTAGCCAAAATCGGACGACTCCACTTACGCTAAAAAGGCACAGTATACAAGAAAATCAACAACACGACATAACACTAAGTACTTGAGTGGGTTATGTAAGTAAATGAAGTGAGATTATCTCCATATTTTTAATGCAATAAAATAAAGTGATAAGTGCGAAAAGAGAAGCTCGTGTTAGATAGTAGTGTAGTGAACGACAACTCAGATGGGGAAGAACAATTTATTGTTTAATGCAAAATTACAGTGCCTTCGTAAAATATGAAAGCTATACACTAAGTGCTTCATTTGCACATCCTCCATCAGTTGCCTCTTACAGATTTTATCGTTCCATCATTCCAGTTATTATTAAAATTACTCTCCGTTTACATCACTGTTCTCTCCAATTCAATATTCTGAACCTTCTGCTACCAGGCATCCCACTTGTTATCGGTGTTACCTACTATTTATGTCTGTCAACATAAGTAGCATACACCATAGTAGCACCATTTCTTGTATAAAATGGTGAGGGATATCATCATTCAATGGCCTGAGAAAACTAAATTTTACCATATGAGGGAATGTTAAAGTATGACTTCATCTGCAATGTGTTGAGGTGTGTGAAATTATTTTATATACAACAAGTAGCAAACTTGCGCATGGTTTAATGTGCAGAAACTAGGTCACAATAATTATTGATATTATTGTCTTTGGCTGTTGGAAATCTGCCACTGTAGTCCATTTAAAAAACAAAATCGTAATGGCTCAACGTTGAGCATCTCGGTTATTGGTTGACAATCAAACATTATAAATACCCTCCGTCAAAAGGAATTGTTTAGAACCTAAAGGACAAACCTTAAGAGACTAGCCTAAATCTTTAGATTCCCTACTTTAGAAGTCGTTGAATTGTGGCCATTTCCTTTGTTTACTAATCAACTAGTAAATGCACACCTCAATGATCATGATTTCATTACATAAGCGACCTAATTACTTTTCTAAATGGGAATCTATAAGTCATAAAGACCGTTAACTATGTCTACGATGTGTCTCTAAATGACAATTTTTTCATGGATATGACAAATTCTAGTACACTAAGAGCGAGGAAACATTCACGATAGTAGAAAGTAAGACTCCTAACTAAAATACATGACTGAAAATACATCATAACTTACAGAAAAGGAATCATACATCCCAGTAACACTTGCACAACTAACATCCGTAGCAAATGTTTTACCACCTGTAAGCCGCCACAGCAACCATGTCTCCAAACAACCATAGCAAAGTAGCCCCTTACGACACTCATCAATAAGCTATAGAGGAATGAAAAGATATAAAATGAATTGGCATATATACAACATACCCTGCCGTTTATAACAAATATTGAATGTAGTAGTAATCAGAATATCTATTATAGGTATTTTTGATATGATTTTGTACTGTACATGGATTTAGAAGGGAACTTGAATTAAGATGGATATATGATTTTAAAATCTTGATTGCGTTTTCTCTAATTTAATACCTGCAACTTTCATACCAGCTATTGAAGCAGTAAGAGTAACACAAAACACTGACTCATAGATTTACTGATTTACTTGACTTGCATAAGAAATATTAAAATTATGAAGTGTGACTTAGTCATTAAGGTGATCGGCTTTTAGTCACCAGGTACTGGGTTCAAACTACGCTCCACCCACTTCAATTTGGGCTACTAGGTAGTACCACTGGCGTATGGTTTATACCCAAGTACATAGTGAATGGATCAAATTTACTTTTTAATAGATCGTTTTAGGGATGCCGAAGCTCTGGACATTACAAATTGAAGACTTCACTAAGATTTATTACAACAAACTAGGACAATTACTTTTCATATCGCTTTAAACCATAATCACCCGATTACACTGCATCTATTTGTTTTTTACTGACTTAGTTCATTTGGACATTTTAATATAATTTTTATTCTTTACGGGCGCCTTTGTGAGGCTAGAAAGGGTTGATCCGACGGTATGTAGGTTCTAAATCTAACTACCTTACCCGTTATTTCAATACTTATAAGCAAACAACCAGTTAACCATTTACAATGCAATCTAAAGTTTGCAAGTAATAAACTTGTCTGGTGTGTGACGAAATCTCAACACGAATACAGAAGGCCCGTCTAGCTTTCGCCAACTTGCGTCATTTATGGCGTAGGCGAGATATCCATCTAGCAACTAAAGGACGTGTTTACTGTGCAGCAGTTCGTTTCGTCCTACTTTATGGCAGTGAAACATGGCCGATAAGAGTAGAGGATATTCGTAGACTACTAGTATTCGATCATAGGTGTCTTCGAAGCATCGCTCGTATATCCTGGGACCACCGGGTAAGTAATGTAGCCGTTAGGAAACAGGTAATAGGTAAGGATGGCAAATCAATTGATGAAGTAGTGAAACTTCATCAGTTGAGATGGCTGGGACATGTGTTACGTATGCCCAACCACCGACTGCCCCGACGTGCAATGTTTTATGGTGTAGGAATAGGTTGGAAGAAAGCTAGGGGCGACCAGACCAAAAAGTGGCACAAATCCATGAAATCATTGACAAGTAGACTGAGCCATGTCGGTAGGTGTAGATTACCTGGTCGGGATCCACGAGACGATAGTAACAGATGGTAAGAGACCTTGAATGACATGGCTCAAAATCATTTACAATGGTGAAGATACACCCACTCTTTGTGTTCTCCAAAATTCTAATCTTCCGGATTCTTAATGTACCTTTCGTTTTCTCTTTCCAAATTTATTTCACTGGATTGTACTCGTTGAATAGCATCTTCAAACACTAATCTTCCGAATTACTGCTTATACTCTTATTACCTCTACCACTATGGTATTTGGATCGACAACTACATCTCTGTACTAATGTGGTATGGCAGCTCGAACTGATGTACGCACGAACGAAGTTCTGCGTTGTGACTGACTGATTAGGACAACCCATAAGTACTACATTATCAAATAGTCACAAAAATGGATTATATATATATATATATATATATATATATGAGCTGTGTTATGAAGTGGATTTTAGGTAGTTAGTAACCACTTAATATTTGTACAGGGGTAACAAAATTCATATATGAAGGATACTAACACCTACCGAATTTTTGGTAAAACATGCTAACAAAAAACCTAAAATGAGAAAGCTAAGGTACTTAACCAATTACTAATCCAATACTGATCAATTGCAACCTAAGTATATGTGATGTGCGGGCTACGAATATTATCCGCCTTCATGCAACACAATAGGTGGCACACATTTCAATTTGCTATTCACCAATCGTAAACCAAGTCACTAACTTCTAGATCACAAGTCTATAAGAACATAAGAAAGTGGGTTTATTCTCACTAGATACTTACTGCATTAGTGGCCAAGATGGTTTAAAACCAGAATCAATAGAAATTCAAGACGTACTAACAGCACTTTCATTTTACATGTCTAACTTTGTGAGGTATTGGAACTTCAGAGATCTGAGTCGATATCAGCCACGTACGAAACTTTAACAGTGTATGTTAAGAGCTAATAATTTTTTTTAATTGGTTTGTTGACGTTTCACAAATCTCCATATTGATTAAATTGTTTCTCTTGATAGTATAATAGGACGAGGATTATCAGAACTATGTGATATATTATCCCAATACATTTCGAACACATATACTTGTTAAGAACATTTATATATAAAAGTAAAAGGTCAACTAGACTGGAAAAGGGGGATAAGAATAGACAAGGATAATAATAATAATAATGTAAAAACTGCTTACCATGCTTGTGAATTAAAGCTATATTGAGGCAATACGCACAGTATGCACATATGCCAATTGGAGACTGACCAGTTGCAGTCCTAACACATCGATGGGAAGATTCAAACAAACAATACTGAATGAATTTAAACTTCACCCCATCGCACAAGCAAGTGGCTATCACGACTCAGTGGCCGAGTGGATAACGCGATGGCGTTTGAAGCGAGGGTTATTTATTTATTTATTTAAACACATAAATATTGGTACAAGGAAGCACAAGATACATATGCGCCATACAAATCTCATTCGATTTGTGTGAGGGCTGTGATACTGCCCAGGTGCCCGAACTGAAGCAGGTGGTTTTCTTAGGGGGCCACACCCGGAGCCTTTGACCGAAAGATCTGATCCACAAGGCAGTGGAGCATCGTGAGGAGATGCAGTCCCATGGTAGCCGGTGACCAACAATAAGTTCATACGCCATTTGTTCCCTCAGGATACTGAAGTCCATGTGCACCATTGGTTTGGAATCAGGGTTTTCCAACTCCCGTAGGTGGACTCGCCTTGTCCACCAACCCGGTTAAAGCGCCGAACATTCGCTTTTCGTCCTCTCAATTTCGTAAACAACACCCCCACCACGAGAAGGCAGTGAGTAGGACTTCCCTGGCAGAGGCTATATATTCGCTGGCCATGTGAGAGCATTTCGAGAGGGAGCGCGGACCCTCCCCACTCTCGGCCGTACCAGTTCGAGTCCCAGAATGAACATCAACTCTGAGATGCAGGTACATCCAGCTGACGAGTCCCAAATAGGACGAAACGCGCGTCCTGGATTCCACTGCTAGCCACTATCCATCTCTGCTTACAATGTAAAAACAATTTGAAACCTAATCACTCTGGATAATAAGCTAATATTATCAGGGTAGGTTTAAGGTGTGAACAAACTGTTTTTGAATACACAAAGGGGGGTTGAATTTTCGTATGGCTAAGGCTTCAATAAACATTAGTATACGCCCTTTTACACTTTTATAGAACACCACAAAAGCCAAGGTTAGATCAATCTTATGGCATGTTTCGATTATATGTCTGGCAATAGAGGATGATGTTTACCCTCCACTCTTATCGGGTTTCTGTAGTATTAGTGACAGTCATTTTCACTACCACGCAAACTGCACTAGTCCAGATGATTTATTTCTACTCATCTGCGGAAGCAATTTCTGATTGACAACTATCTCTTTTGCAGCCTCCTATGATAATCATATTTTGTTACCGCGGTTAACTGAAAATAGTGAGCGGTTACTTCACAGACTTGTGGTGTGAATCTCAGCTAGACTTAAATTGAAATCTGGTGGTGAAACCAGACCCTAAAAGCGAAGTCACAAGATAGCCAAACTAAGTGGATTGAAAACTGTAGTATACAATAGAGAATCAAGACTAAAATATCAGTTAGGTTTTTGTTGTTTAACTTTCCATGCATGGAAAATTTACTACGATTTATACTAATGTGGTTGTTTTTTGCGTTCAGATTATCCCTACTGTCTTACTCTTTCTCCCTATAATCGTATAATATCATAGGACTGTTTAAAGCACATTGATGCTCATGGTACGTCAATGTTATGTCTAAATAAGTATTTAGTGGTAATAATACTACGACACACTTCTTTAAGACCTGAATTATTTGTCTTTTATTCTTGAGTAGTATTTCCACAAATCTCCTGACGTTACTATATTATTGTATGGACCAAACCTTTAGATTAAAGGCTCGGGGAGTGGTTATTTCCAAAAATCAACTGCCTTGGTCTAAGTATTCAGCTAGTATCCGAGACTACAGACTAATGTACCAAGTAGTTATAAAAAGATGTTGTGCAATCTTTGCCTCATTATCTATGCGAACGATATTTGCAATCTAACAATACACCTCGAACACACATATAAATAAAATGAGAAACCAGCGTAGTACGCAGACCACCTGTTGCTGTAAGGCGTTCTACCAACCGATATGGACTAAATATAAGGGAATGATACTGTTGTGCATTTTTCCAATAATATTTACTCGCTAACCGCAGCTTAGATGATGATGAATGATTTCTCATGCGTTGAATATACACCATGTAACTAACATAGAAATCCGAACCTTAGTTTATGTATAACATCAAGGTAGTCGAAAACAATTCACACCACTTTTGCATTTTATGTTGATCGTAGTCAAATGGCGGTATTTTTAGTGTACTCCATTACGAAATAGACATGCTCTGGCACAGCCGAGAACGGAGAGTCAGCTCTTTTAAAATGCTCTCACATGTTCACGCGTATACAGCTACTGCCAGGGAAGTCCTACTCACTGCCTTCTCGTGGCATTACTGTTGTTTACGAAATTGAGAGGATGAAAAGTGAATGTCCAGCGCTTCAACCGGGTTGGAGGACACGGAAAGTCTACCTAGGGGAGCTGGGAAACCCTTATTCCAAACCATTAGTGAACATAGGCTGCGGGATCCTGGGGGAACAAATGGCGTATGAATCTATTGTTGGTCACCGGATACCATGGAACTCCATCTCGTAATGTTGCTCCACTGCTTTGTGGATCAGACCTTTAGGTCGAAGGCTCCGGGTGTGTCCCCCTGAGAAAACCACCTGCTTCGATTCGGGAAACCGAGCAGTATCTTATCCCTTATGAGGCACATACCTATTCGGTGTCTTCTTGTAACAATGTTTATGCTTAAATAACAATAATAGTCTATGACTACTCATAGAGACACAAAACTGGCTGTTTTCCAGACGATAGCACTTAACATGTGCTACAAGTTGTAAATCTACTGATTCTGACGGACATTAGATTCACGCTAATTCCACCAGGATTTCAACAATTTAAGAACCGACCACAAGAACTAGTAAACATACCTTTGGTTTCTCATTTAATAAATATTTGAGACGTATACATGCTAATGCTGTTTTGAAGTGGTACGACGCCAACGCTTTAAACCTTGACTGATGTGTCATCCAATATAACATATGGCCAGCAGTTTTCATACTCTACAAAACGGTGGAATTAGCGAGAAATAATTGAATAGTATGAAAAACGTAGTAAAAGCATCTAAAAATTATCCTGTCCACATTATTTTGTTGAATAGTATATTGACACAGTTAGTTTAGCACGCTCTAAGAAGTTATTGTAGTAACAGTTATGACAGTAAATTCATCATATTCAACATAGCAGAAGCAAAATCTATTGAAATTATTGAGGGATTTATGTCCTAATTATTTGACAGTTTGATTTATTCGTCTCACTGACTTAATAGTGCTTATAAACGATTGAATCACTCAAATCTAAACTTGATTGGGACACCATTTATCTAATGGTTCCAAGGAACATTCACAACGATCCGATGGCATTAGAGATTAGACAATAAAATTTCACATATTGATAGCATTCCTTACTTTATTTAGGGCGCTGAGACAGAGTGTAATACTATAGAAAAACTTGCAATCCCGGAATCGCTGAAATGAATGTATTAATTACCTCATCTGAAATCAAGTACACCAACAATACAACTCAATGACGCTAGTAAATATCAGGTTTACTGGAATCTGAATAATAGGTTTACCTAAAACATTTTTGCACATGATACTGATCTTTCTTAAAGCACATATTCACGAGCATGTGAGAATCTTCCCGTTAAGAGTAAAGAAATGTAATACGAGAACGAAACCAATTATTTAAAACTACGACTACACAGTCCAAAAAAGTTAAACACACTTTGATACGGGTTTCTAACAGTGACAACAATAAAGTAATTTACAGTTGTTTCCCCATAATAATACTCAGAAGGTTTCGCTCATTAGTAATGATTATACAGCACCTACGGAATAAATAATATTGCTGTTGTGGATGTGAAATCCCCAAACACAACTTGTGAGAAAGGAATTGCCATTATATTATGTTATTCAATCTGAACTCAATACATGGACATTCAATACATTTCGACCATTTATATTTAGTGACAAATACTAATTTCATAAATTCTTTTTTACTTGTTTCGGGGACATGATCAAAAAAGCTCCAACTACTAATCTGGATTTTTTACTCTAGTTAGCAAGGGGAGGAAAGAGGATAATAGTCTCGTTTATCGTATTGGGGTCGGAGTTGTGAGATATAAGTATAGCGCACAAACGTGTCAATTATTCAATCTATTTCTGTTAATTCACTTGTACAGTTGAAAGGGTTGGTTTGACAGATAAGAGGACTAGTTTTCAATTATAAGGTCACAAGTCAAAACGCAGCGCCATTTCAGTCTGAGTGGTCAAGTTGTCTCTAGTTTTTATACAATAGTTCAAAAGTAATTGCACAGACTTGTACTTCATATAAGTTTTTTGGTACGTAAGACACGCTAAAGAAAAGGCAAAAACGTTATATTACTCTCCGAGATAATACCTGTACAATCAGACTAAATTCTGAGTTATGAATAACCTATAACATTCTTAAGGTAAAATCAAACTTTTCTAAGTGAATAGGAATCGTTTCTTTTTAGAATAAGAGAGCTAAACATAACGTTGATCATTGATTAGAAATGAGAAGTACGAACCAATCCTGAAAAAATCACTTACTGGTTTAGAATAGTTAGCCATGATAAAATTAATTTAGCACTATTAGGGCGAATAAAACACAGTTTGGACCGGTGACTTAACAGCGAAACTAGTACATATTGCTAATGGTGACTTAAGCCACTGGCAAAAACGGATAAGCATAGGGAATAAACTATAACTTACACGAAAGATAAAAGAGTGATTTAACTTTTTGGCGAGATCCAAAGAACGTGTATCTTGCCACGTGATGACACGAGTTCGAGGATTGGATGTCTTCCTGTCAAACTACTTATACTTAGGAATAAAATCTTACTTATCCCACAACAACAGACTATTTCGCTGAACAGAAATACCTATACAATTGATCCGATCAGGGTTAATTTCAGCATCTACATGATTATCTACAAAAGTGTTGGTGTTACCTTGTAATGCTTCATCTAGCAGCTTGCAAAAGGATTCCCATACAGCCTCTGGATCCAATTCGCAAGCACCATCAGGCCTTTCAAGCCGAGGTACCTGGAAGAAAAGAATAGCTGTAACATTATTTTGCAGGGTGTAACTGTCTGTTTTCACTTATCTAAATCTAATTTAAAAAGACAAAGTTAAGAAGTATACTATACAGAAATAGCAAACGTGCAGGCTACTTAAAAGTTAAGCTATCCAGAATGAACTGGTTGGGACAGGTCGCAGGCTAATCCCATGTTTGCTGAAAATTAAGGGGAGGTAATTAACAATCGAAAGTGCTTAAACAGGGACTAGAAGTGCCTGCATTATTATCTAGAAACAATATATACAATCATTGGTTTGGTGAAATTCTAAATGATGCATACGTTGATGAATAATTAGCTTGAAGGTTTTGATTTAAACCATAGATCACATCAGAAGCACGTTTTACCTCAGATTGGATAAAACAGTAGTATCGTAGGTGCTTACAACAGATCCAGTTTACAGTCCAACAGGCGAATTTCCAGGGCCATTTAATATATATATATATATACCATTGTTTAGCGTCGTACAGTTCAACAAACCTTAAGTGGTTGCTAACTTCATAAGTCGAATGAACTATTTGTCCGTAAAATCCTCCAAGAACAACAAACTGATTCAAGACACTATTTACTTTTATTTTGATAGATTCTTAAGAAAATCCCTTCATACTATCACACCGAGTAAAATCTGTTGAACATATTGTGGAATTATTTTTATTTATTTAAACAGATAAATACTGCTACAAGGAGACATCAGATATATATGCGCCGCACAAATCTCATTCGATTTGTGTGAGGGCTGTGATGCTACCCAGGTGCCCAAACCGAAGCAGGTGGTTTTCTTAGGGGGCCACACCTGGAGCCTTTGACCTAAAGGTTCGATCCACAAGGCAGTGGAGCATCGTGAGGAGATGCAGTCCCATGGTATTCGATGACCAACAATAGGTTCATATGCCATTTGTTTCCTCAGGATATTGGAGCCCATGTGCACGATTGGTTTGTAATAGGGGTTTTCCAACTCCCGTGTGGCGCATATGTATCTGGTGCCCTTTTGTACCAATATATATGTGTTTAAATAAATAAATAAAAATAAATAAGTAGGTCGACCCTCCATGTCCACCAACCCAGTTAAAGCGACGGACATTCGCTCTTCGTCCTCTCAATTTCGTAAACAACGGTAATGCCACGACAAGGCAGTGATTAGGACTTCCCTGATAGAGGCTATATACTCGCGGCCATGTGAGAGTATTTCGAGAGGGAGAGTGGACTCTCCCCACTCTCAGCCGCACCAGAGCATTTGTGGAATTACCTCAAGGCATTCGAACCCGATCCCTCTCTCCAGGACAGTTCTACGTTGTAACTGACTGACTGAATTGGTATCCCATACGTTCAGTAAGCCCTCGAACACCACTGTCACTAGGTTTCAAGGAATGATTCCGATGCTTTTGACAATCCAACCACCAATTGCATCCATTTCAATGTGTTTTTGTCGCCAATCCGTGGTATTGCGGGGTTCTATTTGTGTACCTAAAGGGGTTAGCCCCTAACTATAAAGTTATGTCGAACTCTGTTTCAGTTTATTCTATTTAAGAAGTCAGGTACTATACCGGGCTTGGGGTTTCAAGTCGAGCATTTAAAAATACACCTGGCGAGTAACTTTCTAGTTACTGGTATTGGAGTTGATGAAAATAATCCAGAATGATGGAAGATTCAAATAGACGGTTTGATAATGTGCAAATTATGAACAAATCACAAACAAAAAACTCACCGGATTCAGCTCCATAAATTTTCAAGTATGAAAACGAAATAGACGAAAAAAATGTTTTGACACCAATTTTATGTGCACAACATACTGACTCACTTTAGTGCTGCTACATCCAACGACCTTAAGATCCATAGTATAGACCCTGGCGCATGCATGAGTGCTTCCGAAATCAACACCCAAAATGAATTTCGAAACCGTTTGCTGTGAACCAATTTCAACGCAACAAGTCAAAAAGCAAGAAACATAAATGTCGAATTTATATTTGGGAAAAAGACTTAAGGCATACATTTAACTATTTTACATATCTTAATGGTCATGTCCAGGACTAGAAATGGCTATTGCTTTAGCAAGCTCCCTGACCTTGGCGTCCTGAATCTCAACTACGGTCATGAGCTCATTAACGCGACTAGTTAGTTGATCCAGTGTTTGTTGTACGCAATCATCCTTATTATGTTCTTTCCTTACTTGCCGGCGATATTCAAGCAAAAGGCAAGTGGCCCCAACCACAAAAATGATAATTTCCCCCAGCACTTCTGATCCAAGGTCAACGGCAGCATCTTCACTCAACTTGTTAACCTCCTTTGGTATTTGCAGCCCCAATAATTTTAATTTTAGTCGGGTTTCCCACAAATGATATACTATTAATAATAAACTGCTATTTTAGAGAACTTACATTGCGCTGGGGGCAGGCACACATAGTTCCTGAAAAATGCATTTGTCTTGGCCTTGCGCTTCAGGTAGTTGGCCAGGGGCTTTCCTATCTGTTTTATAGCCAATGCTCCCAATTTAAATACAGGGAAAGCCCCAACCATATGGTTTTAGTTGCAAAGTGCGCTTTTATTGGCTACTCATGAAACTTTGAATGTACAATCCTCCAAATTTTAATTTCATTGAAGAAACGAATACGACAAGAATATTTTAAAGTATTTAAGTGTATTATTGATTCTTTGACACAGAGTAGTATATATTCTATATCGGAAATTCATGAACCTGAAGTGTCGAACAACTAGCCATTGAGATAGATCATGGAGAGGTGTCTAGTATGATTTTTATATGGTGGTGTCTAGTATGATTTAAATGATTGCGGATCTAACAAAAGAAGCTTTCGCTCAATGAGCTTCAGTACCTAATAGTAGTGGGACAATGATATTTCTAGTAGTGGATCAATGTTCATGAAATACTCAGATGTAAGTATTAGCAAATCAGTATGATGTAAATGTAGAGGTAAAATAATCCGAAGAACAGATATTGTTGTATGTCTTTGACTCTAGTAGTGACCTCACCAGTTCCACTAAGCATCAGTGATGTCTACTGACCCCAACTATTCCTTAGTGCATTAGTGCACGGCTAATGTGAACAATTAACGCATTACCTTCAACCGTGCTCACACAGTTCCCTCTGACTTAAATACTAGATCTTAAATGACAACCAGAGAACAAGCTGAACATTTATGAGTATTACTCATCAGCATAGTGTAGCTGTAAATAATTCCCCAAAATCAGTAGCTTTCTAAGTGTTCGACATTGGATGCTGACCACACTGTTTTAAGTGGACTTATTTAACTGAAGGCTTTCGGTCATGCATCCGTACCAGATCACGTTGCGACTCAGTGTGGGAAGCAGCTCCTACTTTTCACTAGCCAGATTGAAGTAATCACTTTTCGATATATTGATAACTTATCAAATATATCTTTCTTACCTCTTCGCATCTGACTTCTGACCAATTGGGGAACGATTCGAGTATAGAAGGTGTTACTGGTTGCTACTTGCCAAACTAGAATACCTGTCGTATCTTCAGTGGTCAGACCGACGTGATCTGGTACACCAAGCGCATAAATTGTGAGTCTGTTCCTTTTTGGCCTGACAATATCGAGGCCTGATTCTGCTACGCAGAAGCTAACTTTTGCGGGCACGGAATCACGGACTCGCGCACGCAATTCCTCGCGGTCGTTAAGGCATTATTGTTATATCTAGAGCTTTGTTTCTTACTATGCCGCGTACTACTAAGCCACTTGAACGATAGAACCCGCAACGTCGCAAAGAGAAGACAAAAGACTAGTAAGTAGGAAGTTTATTCCCCAAAGCAGTGTTAAAATATAGTGCAGAAATCTCATGTATTTATAGTTATTGGCTGAATATAAATTATCATTTCGGTCAACCAATAGGCACATAGGGGTCACTCTTATCCATCCAATGGGGAAGCTACACGTCGACATTCTAGGATATTCCCCTTTCGGTGATTAGATGGAATATGTCCGGCTCTTTCTGGGCTTCTTAAGGCTCCCCTAGAGTCCTTACAATTACCGCGCGAATTTGACAGGTACGTAACACCTAGTATGTTTACTAGTGGTGTTCCGGAACCTTACGAAACACTCAAACGGTCGATTCTAAAACGCGGAGATCTAACCGATCGATAACGGTTGGATCAACTCCTTACCAATATCGACCTGCAACATTGTTCCGCGTCGGACATCTTGCTTAGGATGAGATAAGTGGTAGGTCAACGAACGTTCGACGATGGCATATTTGAAAAGCTCTTCTTATCCAAACTCCCGAAACAGGTGCAAGCAGTTCTCGTCTCGTTCCAAAACAACGCCGTAGACGAACTGGCTACATCTGCTGATCGAATTTTAGAAATTAGGAAATCGACTAGCGCAGAGGTTTTTTCCGTCAGAGAAAAACCTCAATCGATCCCGACCGGTATAGCCGAACTATGTCACTCACTCCCACGATATCTTAGATTTCGTAATGACAGTAGTTGATAGAAAACCCCGTGTTTGCGTAACTCCTTTTTCTGGTTGCAGATTATCTCCAGTCACGATTAGACACGCCATAGACCCCTTATATCAACCATTACTCGATAAGTACTCCGGGATATATCAATCGCAACCGAAATTGCCTTGTGTAACCAGCAATGTTACACATCACATCTCGACTACAGGACCACCTGTATTCTCAAAATCACGTTGACTGGCTCCCAAAAAGCTTAGGTTAGCTAAAAACGAATTCGACCACATGATAGACTTAGGTATAATTCGACCGTCAAATAGCCCTCGGTCATCTCCCTTGTACATGGTCCTTAAAAAGGACAGCAACGATTGACGTCCAACTGGTGATTATCGGCGGCTGAACGCTAATACCATTCCCGATCGTTACCTGTTACCTCACATTCACGATTTGACAGCTACCTTGAAAGGTTCAACTGTCTTTTCGAAAATCGACTTAGTTAAGGCTTATAATCAAGTACCGATGGCACCTGACGACGTCCCTAAAACTGCCATCATCACTCCTTTCGGTATTTACGAATTCTTGTGAATGCCTTTCGGACTAAGAAATGCGGCTCAAACCTTCCAAAGGTTTATAGACGACGTCTTCCGAGGTCTCAACTTCGTACATGCGTATGTTGATGATTGTCTATTAGCAAGTCCGGACAGAGAATCACATCTCCAGCATCTGGACATTGTTTTCGATCGACTCCAAAGGCATGGCATTAATGTAAACATTCAGAAATGCCAAATCGGAACCAACTCCTTAGACTTCTTAGGACACACTATTGATGACCAAGATATCCGACCCCGAACCTTAACGGTTCATACCCAAATGCGCATCCCTTATGAAACCGTTAACCGACCAACTTCGTGGAAATGCAAAATCAATTAGTTTAGACGACACAGTCCGTAAAGCATTCTCCACAGTTAAGGAACACATCGCTAAGGCAACCCTGCTTTCTCATCAGGACATTCAAGCGCCCATTAGTATCTCTGTAGACGCATCCGACTCAGCGATCGGAGGAGTCTTACAATAATAATAATAATAATAATAATAATAATTTATTCTCAAATAACATTGTTACATGAGGCATGCCGGTTTACAGGCAAGATCAAATTGATAAAGAAGTTACAATTTTCACTGTTGAAAATTACTCAGTTGGGTTGATATTTCATAAGATATGAATGTAAATGGATTTCATAAGAAACATGTCAATATCAATATCACATTTGGCGCACTTTATGGAGGTAGCGTTGCAACATACAACTGATGTCCGAGAATGGATACATGCGAGGTTGGGGGCTTTTAGAAGTTTAGAACTTATGTCCCTCCAGAATATCGGAAGCATTAATAACGGTGTAGGACGAAGTCACCTGTGCCATTTCTGTTTTCGATGGAGTATCTGCAGGAAGCTGAAAAAGGTGTAAGAAAAAGGAAGGACGAAAAGCAGAGCACACAATTTTCATGGAGGAATAGTTAACGTATAACCATTTAGTCTATTTGTCTGTTAGTGAAGTATTTATTGGGTAAGAACATACTAATGTGTTAAAGAAAAATAAGTGTGGGCAAGGTATGAATGGATAAGGAACTGTATAAATGAAGGTAGTTTAGAAGGAAGTATGGAAATGTGTAATTATAAAATAAAGTGCTGAAAACAGTATTCCGATACAAATGGCTATCTCCCTTTTTTTCGAAGCTGTTTGAACTCTCTTTTTTTTGTTTTCAGATTTTATAGGGTATAGAGTGGGCTTCGTTTTTAGCCAATTGTCTAGTTTGCTTGTATTAGGATTACTTCGTAGGAAGTGGAACCAATTCAGCTTTTTTTTAACATGATTCAAAGTGGTATTTTGCATGAATAATCTTGCATCAATACCGTTGGTTCGTGACATCCCACTAGACATAAGGAGCCGTAATTAATATGTTCTGCCCCACAGACACGGGTGGATTGAAGTTATTGAAGGTTAACCACTCTTGGCAACCTTCAGGATTTTTCTCGAGACGGTTGCTAGACGGTGAATCTAGGTACAGCACGTTCGGTAGGGAACTCTTAGGTATGTATTGTGCTGTACGGCATTTCCAACATTCCATCGAAGGAAGAGAATTCACGCTTTTTACCGATCACAAACCTCTTACCTTATCTTTAATTCCATCTTCAGACTAGTACTCACCGCGAGAGTCTCGACAACTGGACTACATTTCGCAGCTTACTTCAGATATACAACACATTTCTGGAGCAAACAATGCAGTCGCGGACGCTTTGTCTCGTATAAGTTCCTTGAACAGTTTCCAAGGAATTGACCTTCTTAAACTCGCTCAGCTTCAGAAAGAAGACACTGATCTTCAGCACGAGTTATCCTCGACAACTCTAAAACTGCGTATTGAACAGATAGGAACAGGTAAGGAAACCTTACTATGTGACACATCTACCGGTATGGATCGTCCAATCGTACCAAAACATTATCGACGCAACGTCTTTAATACGTTGCACAATCTTTCTCATCTAGGTGTTCGTGCATCCATCAAGCTAATAGCCGAACGGTTTTGATGGCCTGGCATGAATAAAGACGTGAGGGAGTGGTCACGCTCCTGTGTAAGCTGCCAGAAATCTAAGGTAATTAGACACAACAAATGTCTCTTAGGCTCTTCCAAAACCCCTAATGCTCGTTTCGACCACGTTCATCTAGATTCGGTAGGGCCCTTACCCTATTCAAACGGATACTCATATCTCTTAACATACGTAGACCGTTTCACTGGATGGCCGGAAGCAGTATCTATTAAGGACATTACTGCTGAAACAGTGGCTCGCACTTTCGTCGAACGATGGGTAACAAATCTCGACTGCCCTACAACCATCACTACAGACCGTGGACGCCAGTTAGAATCTGGACCTTTCCGTTGTCTGACCACAATATTAGGAATCACGCGATTCCAAACGACCGCTTACCACCCAGAAGCAAACGGGTTGGTAGAACTTTTTCATCGACAACTAAAAGCTTCACTATCAGCTACAAAGGTTCCACAGTGGATAGACGCTATTTCACTCGTTTTACTAGGTATCCGCAATGCAGTGAAGGCTGACATTG